CAAGAGCACACTCATAGGCACAGCAAAGAGGTCTGGTTTGACTCAAAGTAGTTGAGCTGAGGCCTAGCGGACGATGCTCAGCTCCTGCTGTGTGTGTTGGGTCACCTGTTAATCAATGCAGCCACGATTGTAACTCTACTATCCAGGTGGATACTGCTATCAGGCTTCTCCTATATTGCTTTATACGAGAATGCTAATTGCTTTCTTCTATAACACAATTAAAGCTTGGAATATCCTTCCAAATAATTAGAAAACCTGTGCAGATTTCCATATCTTCTCTCATGCTTAACCTTGTGAGTATTAATTTCCTCACGATTTCTTGTTTTATATAATTCAGTATACCTGCGATTTTTGATTTTCAATTAGTTATTATCTGTGCTTGCTAGTGTGTGTGTGTGTTTGCACACATGCAGGTATGTGAGTGTGTGCATATGTGTCTCCACTGACTGACTTTAATTGCATCTCACTGTTTTTTTCTAACCTGCCCAGGGACCACAGATGGAAATTAGCTAGTAGCTAAATCTGGCACAAAGCATTTTTCTGTTTTTGTGTGATTAATGAATTTTGTACATTCTCTCTGAAAGAAATGAACAGCAAACAAACAAACAAACAAACAAACAAGCAAGCAAAAAAATAAATCACCCTACTTAGAGTTCTTATGAAGGGAGAATCTATCCATTGAGGCCAAATTATTTTTTTTACTGTGCTCTAAATATTTTCTTTAATGCTATAAAGTTGGGTTGGTTATAATATAGAAGCCTATGGGATTCACTTCATATTGGAGCTAGCCTCAAGTGGATGCAATTTTTGTCTTCATCAGCTCCAGAGATTGTCATATGGTCCTGGCGGTGGTCTCTTTCCTCTTAAAAGGGAGTTCTTCCTTCCCACTGTTGCTAAATGCTTTGTCATACAGGGTTTCTCTCTCTACAGTGCTTTCAGACAACTGTCACAGTGAATTAAGGCTATATTAATACAACTGAATTGAACAACAGACCGCTAACGCAAAATGAAAATCAGCTATTGTTTCAGTGCTTTTTCTTCAGTGTCAAAATGTCACAAAAAAGGGTCCATTGAGATTTCAATTTGTAACATTTGACAGCCGCAAAAAGATCTGTAATACACTTTCATGTGACACAAGATGCAAAGCCAGCTGTACCTCAAAAAGACCAAACTGTCTGCAACAGCAAAGAGAAACTGTGATCACAAAATAAAACTAATCAAACTGTTAGTGTTAGGGTTACTAACTCAAAAGTCTCTTTTTGGAACATTTAATGCATCACCCCAAATCGGTCATGACAGATGGCTGCCCAACCCTGAGTCTGGTTCTGCTGAAGGTATCTTCCCATTGCTGCCAACCGCTTGCTCAAAGGGGGTCGTTTGATTGTTGGAATTTTTACCTTACAATATAAGGCACCTTGAATGTTGTGATTTGGCCCTGTATAAATAAAATTTAATTGAATTACTTCCAAGCTTGTATCCAAGCAATTCTAAAAGGACTTTTAATATCTCTGTGACCACTGATAAAGACATCTGAAATTCATTTTGAGACAATGACCCCAAATTATAATAACATTTCCATAAAAAAGTAAAACAACTAAATCAAAGTCCTACTAAAAACTGATTTTGTTAATCAGCTTCCTTCTGTGAGTAATGGGGTCCTGCAGGTTCACACATCTCGACTGAGAGATTTATGTCTTTACTGTCCGAGGTTTCCTGAGTGTTTCAAAGTGGACAAAGCTCATTTAGAAGTGGGTGCATATATTTCTTCCTAATTAGACTTTTGCTATATTTTAATCAGTATCTGATCGCAGCCTTATTCATGTGCACAGCCTTGATGTTGTATTAGAATTTTGAAGTGCTACATTCCTAATTAATAAAATTCAAGGATGTCTCTTTTTTGTGTCTTAGTGTAAAGCATTGATGTATATGCCTACTACCTAAATAGACTGCAGATCTGCCAAGTTCTCTGAGGAATAAAATGTTAGTTTTTAACCAGTGCCATCGCCATTATGATACATATCTGATGGATTGTCTTTCACACACAAATCAATGTGTAAGATCTTTCTACTTTAAGCAATAATAGCCTATTCCCTCATATCCGAGGTCATAAAAGAGGCCTAACGTTCACCATCAGAGTCACTAATTGATAACCATATTCTGTCCTTATGGCTGAAGGTCACTGTGTCTTCTTCTCTATGGGGAGCTAATAATCTAAGGAAGAGTATGAGCTGGAATCCATCTCCATTAAATTAAAGGAGCCTGGTCCCACAATGTGACCTCTATTCACTATGATTTATTGCATGAACAAAGTAAATGAACATTAAGCACAAAGGACATGCGGCTAATGAAATCATCAGCCCAACAGTTAAGCCAGTTAAGAGGAGAATGGAGCAGTAGTTGAATACAGCTGTAGATATGTAAAGGCGCAGACACACATTCCTTTGAATCACCTTTGTGAAGGTCTAGCAGTTTATAAGTCTACAGTTACCGCAGCCATTTAACTCAGCATGTATGACAGCTCTGTTCTTCTAATTTTAGAGGTTAAATGAGTTGCTCAAATTAAACGGCACTCATTAGTTGGGAAACAGAATCTGACAAAGTAACGCATCAGTGCCACATGACTATTTCAGCTCCAAAAGATTAGAGCGCCCAGAGGTATCTATGTCTATTAAAAAAACAGGGGAGGATAGTTGTCCTTATTTAATATTCTACAAGAGTAGCAACACAAAGGGTGATAGGACCAAGTTAGTTTCCATCTGAATGGGCTCTACGGTTTGAATCACAAAGCTGTTTAAAGGCACCATCCTTTTGTATTCAGTTTGTTAATTGCATTAACGTGGTAAGGCATTAGTCCAATGTCAAGTGTAATTATAACAGATGTATTCTTTGCAGTCACTAGATGGCGCTCTTGACTTGAACTGTTTTCATTTGATCCTGCAGCCTATGGCACCAGGTCAAATCCTGTTGCCAGTATTTCTACCCTCTAGACTTGTGTTCTCCAAGTCTGTCAAATGAGAACGATCTCAATCATAAGCTCTGCAGCTACTGAACTGAGTCCAAATGCAGATTATCTTAAAGGACAGCGATAGGCTTAGTCAGCCTATGACCAATAAATCAAGAGGCCCTACAGAGCCAAAAACACAGGGATTGCTCCGGATTTTAATAAAATCTCTTAAGAAATGGGTCTCCTTTCTTTAATTTCAGTGTAGTGCACCTATGACAAATGACACAATTAGGTTAAGCTATAAGCTTAAAGGAAATTTAAATGTAGGTTGATGAAAATCTGAAGCTCCCTCACATTGAAAAAACCACAACAAGACTAGATTCCACACTGATTAAATCACTTTTGCCACGAGAATGAAGAGGAAATGGGGCACGTTGCATATGTGAACTAAATGACAGCTTGAATGGAGGAAAGACCTGTACAACAGCCCTCCTTGTAGCTGTGAAAGCCCGAGATCCCTATCAGGGAAATGGGACCCTTTTCAGTTCCGGATGAGGGCACATCACCCTCACAGAGAGAGGTGTCAATTGGTTTCAAATGGGGAGACGGAAAGGAAAAGTATAGAGCGAGAGGAATAAAGGATATTGGCAAGTTACCAAGCCGTGCAGGTGTCTGCCTAAAAACCAGGCTGCACTAGCGCTTTGCACACTCTAGGCAAGTGTGGTCCAGCCTGAGCAGGAACCAGGAACTATGAGAAAACAAACCAAGCTCATAATAGCGAGAGCACAGAGGGAAGGGCTGTTGGTGCATGTGTCTGTGTGGATTACACAGTCCCTTTGTACAGTGGGGCGCATAGATCCTTTTGGCATTCCTGTGAACATCACAGTGGTTTCTCATTTGCTCTTTTGGGGGGGTCAGACACTACATGGCATCACGATCAAACCAAAAAGCAACGCCTACAGTATTTTTGCCTCATGTATCCTGACATCAATCCACTGAACAGACTTTATTGCATGCTTTGGAGTCTTTGATCTCCATGCAATTCTCGTTGCATCAAAATTACAAACCTGTAAGCCTGCTATTAAATTCAATTAACTCTTTAAAGAAGATTAAAAGTTGCAGTTGCTGCTGTGGTAAAACACCAGCTCATGTTATTTTTTTCTCTTGCATTATGTCTGCTATGTCTTCATGATATGCAAACAGTGACACTCTTTACATCTGGATAGAAGGTTCATTCATTCAGCTGATGTTATCAGCTCATAAACGTACTACAAACGTGGCAGGAGTTTCTAAGTGGGTGTATCGTTTTGTAAAATGACTGTTTTTAGAAAGCAGCGACACATGAGTCAAACGTTTTGGGCTCTTATAAAGTCATGGTAAAATGACGAAGTGCTTCAGATCATTGTTTTCAAGTGCAGGTCGAGTGTTTATCTCGAAAGGTATCGGAGTTTTTGCACAAATTAAAGTTTAGACAAACTCACGTCAGGATATAAAGTTTATAGTCATCACTCCAAAGTTACATACAAAGACAGTCACATATAAAGGCTGTCACATGCAAAGTTTAAAGTTATTAAAAACCTGTGGGGTTTCAGTTGTAGACAGAGCCAAATGAATAGCTAACAGGCTAGCATGAAGTACTTCGTCAATTTCACTGGAGACGTTGCTAACAACACCGGAAGTACCAACTACAACCCCACCCCACCCCCCGCGTTTTTGTATGAGGAAGTTAATATGACGAAATGTCAAGAAGTAAAAATCTATTGTAGACAACATACATAAGTACAAACCACAGGGTACCGTATAGCTTAAACGAACAATTACGTGTGTTATTCATTGAATTATTTAGGTTATTGAAAAAATACACATTGACGTTTATGTAACGTAGATTAATGGATAATGATACCATATATAAACATATACTTCTGTACATATAAAGATGTTTTTTTAATGTTTTATTCCTATGTATACTTATTGTTAAACTCCTGTCATTGTTGGACTTTTATTTTGAAAGGTTTCGGCGGAACCGCTGTAGTTTTTCAGTTTGTCTTGACAGAGGTCAGAAACCCAGTGTGGAGGAAAGGATGTGGGTATGCTGACATCTGCAAGCCAGAGGTTTGAGTGTGAGAAGACCGCAGCCAGGCTGACAGACAACGGCCTCGACTCTCTCGAAGTAACTCCGAGACATGTAACTTGTTGCGAAGGTAAACTCAACACAAGCTAACCTCGTCTTTCTTCACAGAAATGCTCTCCCAGCTACAATGTGTCGTCAAGTTCAAAGTACAGTTTGTCTGTTGACGATGTCGATAAAATCTATTTGGGCTTCTTACTCGTTTAGCAGTAATTAAACTTAAAAAACGTTGGCACTACAACTAATGTGGACTTTCTTTGAAAGTAGGAAGAGGTTGTCATTTAGCCTCTAGTAGCTGATAATTCAAGTGGAGGCTTTGTAGAAAGTTGAGGTTATTCTTCCCACACAAACATTCACACACACACGCGCGCGCGCTGCTGCTGCTGTGCTATGCGTGTGTTTAATGCGACCTTCATCCAGGGGGGTCAGCGGAGGCTTTTGCTCTCTCTGCTGACTGTACGACTAGTTAGGAGCCAAACACTGATTTAGTTTGACAGATCCGGAGACCTGTTGCTGAACTTGCGTGTTACGACTGCAGCTTTCGAGACAGGCGCTCTCTCCACTGCTATTTCTCTTTTCCTCAAAGCTCCCCTTTCCTCATAAATACAAATTAAGATAAAAGTTTGATCATCAGCTAGGCCGTAGGGAGAGAGATGGCAGTGTTAGGGGTTTACTCGAGATTTACTTTTGCTTTCATTTGGAGCACCTATCAGCTTTAATAAAGCAAGGAGCGGGAGCGTTGTTTTAAAGTGTGTTTCAAGTGTGTTTGGGTTTGTTTGTGTGTCAGAGACAACAGTTAAATTAAGCCTGCCATCATCACTCATCCCACCCAGGCTCCTTTCTGTCAGTACCATATACACAGAGTGCAGCTGAGAGCTGTTTGTGTTGCTCAGATGAGTCAGTGATCCCTGTCTTCTTAAAATTAAATAGAGCCAGTCGGTTGGTGGGGAAGAGTTGCTTTGTCAAGCATTGTTTGTGTAACCTGTTCAGCTTGTGCCTCTTGGATATTACACCATTTACAGCTATTTGTCGTTTCTGGACTGGTTGACAAGGAAATGAAGCGTGCAATGTATGCAGTACATAGTGTTCATTCCAGGCTGACCGTGGAGAGAAGTTGGGGCTTCATGACATCAGAATTTTAAGTGACTCTAACATAGAGTCTTATTTTATCAGCTATTGACCCATCCTTTCACTGCTCTCTGGGTGGGACATGCAGCAGAAAATGCACCCCAGGAAACCAATGCTATCCTTCGTCTCCCTTCTTTTTGTGTGTTTTTGTTTCATGACCAAAAAGCAGGTCAGGATTAACGTTGCATCTTAGCCCTCTGCCCCGCTTGATCCAAGCAGCTGCCCTGGGTAAGGCTATCAGATTCAGAGAGAGTGGAAGGTGTGATGGACTGCTAATAAAAGGGGGTTTTGTTTGCAGGCGTCTCCATTTTGAAACCTCAGGAGTCCAGAGTTCTCTGGCCACAGCCCAGACTGGAGTGAAAAGGCTGCGCTGCTGCCTTGAAGGACTCCCATTGGCAATTGAGTTTCTTTTTTACTCTGCACTGCGGATGCGTGCACTCTTTGATTTTTCTATTTGCTTTTAAAGCGTTTCCTCAAAGGCCTTTTTAAGCCAAGCTTTTCTCATAATTTGCATTTTTCTTTTGGTAAAAGTTGGAAATAACCATCATTAGCCTGTTCTGTGAGGAGGGAGAAGCCCTGCTGTGGTGTGTGGGACTGTGTATGTATGTGTGTGTGTGAATCATTATTGCCACTAAGCCTGTCTGACATTAGCTGGCACTACGGCAAATGGCACCCTGCTTTAATATTAATGCAACACAATTATGTGATTACATCCAGATCAGTGTCAACATAGCTAAGTGGTCTGTTTTTACCACAGGCTTCTCGTAGCTTTTGGCAGGCTAAGCCAATGCAAATGTCGAAACTGCTGTCTTTATGTACCGATTAACCCGGGCAAATCCTGTTTTTCAAAAAAGCCAAAAAATAACATTTTTTTTCTTTTTTTTTTTCCATTTTTTTTTTTTTTTAAAATAAAAAAAAAAAAAGTTTTTTAAGGTTTCTTCCAATCAGCCTTGAATTTGGCTGAGTGGAAGAGAACACAAGTCTTAAAATGAGAAATCCTTCAAAAGACCGGATTCTTAAAAAATCAAGTCTTTTAAAAGGTTTCCAAGTTAACAATGAATTAAACCCAAATCTAAACAAAAGGCATGCTTAAACCTGGCTGTTTGACCACTGTCTTTAAGTATGTGTTTTCTGCTTTGCTGCAAATATGTGTCATATATGTTTAGGGTATTCAAAAATGAAAAGGAAGGAGAATTATAAAAGGTGAATGTTTAAAAGACTTGATATAACTTTTGGATTTAGGGGAAAAAAATCTGACTGTATATGAGGCACAGATGTGAGAAACATTTCCGGTAAGACTCAGTGCGATTCACTGGGAATAAAACAGCTCAGTTTTAATTAATTTTATCAGACTGACATATCTCTCGTTGGAGTGCATCACAGACTTAATTTATTCAGCACATTGCCGTGTGAGCCATAATTTAGCCTCTTCCATCTTTGCAATTTGTATTTAATGAGCATCTTAATGTGGCCCTGAGCATGCAAGCATATTTATGATGTCGGCGTTGATTACCGCTGGTCTGGTCAATGGGAGCGATGTCCTCAGGGCACTTGTGCATTTAGAGGCAGATACGATCTTTCGTGGATGTAAGTGTTTAGATTAAGAACTTGGGTTCTTACTTGATTAAGCCTTATCTAATGGGAGAGCTTTGTTGAGATGAGTTCCGATAGTCTGCTCCTGTCAGCGGTGTTTCTCAGCCGCCTCCTTTTGTGGTTTGCTTTAAAATGTGACATAAAATGTGTGTGATTATAAACTTTTGTCTATTTCTTTCTTTCCTCCAGAGGCTTGTGTCCTGTAAGGGCACCCTGAAGCTCAGCCTGTCACTGTCCTTCCTTGGTGGTTCCTGTCATGAGGGGGCGTGTTTCTCGAAAGCTGGCCTTGCTGGCCAAGGCTGGTTTCCTCCTGTGGGTGCTGTGGCTTGGCTATCTGCTGTTGGAGCGCTCCTCTTTCCCTTTCTCTTCCTCTGTGGAGGATGAGGTTAAAGACCAAAATCTTAAGGCACGACAGCTGGTCTCAGAGGAGACTGGGAATGATGAGCAGCTGGCTAGGCCTCTGTACATTAAATCACCACCAGACAACAATGCACCAGGGGAGTGGGGCCGGGCCACACACCTCAACCTGAGCCCTGAAGAAAAGAAGCAGGAGCAGGACAGCGTGGAGCACTACGCCATCAATATTTATGTCAGCGACAAGATCTCCCTCCATCGGCACATCCAGGACCACAGGATGAAAGAGTGAGTACAGAAAAAACAAGAATAATCCATTAGTTACTTAGTGTTGGGA